TTCAAACGTTTTAACTTTTAAACTATATACATAGATTGAATGACAAAAATTTGGAAACTAAATTAAATCATTTTTATTTTATCTCAAAAGTAGCTAGTGCAGAAAAGACTATTGGTTCTCCGCCAAGAGCAATTCTTTCCTTTTGCTTCAGTAATAGAATTAGCTTGCTACACAGCTAAAGATTACATTTGTCAGTCTACCCTGTCACTGTGTACAGCTGGCAATGGGATGTAAATGGAAATAATATATGCAACTTCTGAGTCTTTCTTTCCCCTTTGAGAACTTTCTCAAACCTGAGAACTTTCTTTCCCCTTTCTTCCTTCCTAATAGTGAGATAGGGGACATGATGGCAGGAGCAGAGGCAGTTATCTTGCACCATGAGATGGAAGCCATGTGTTGAGGATACACAGCAATAAGATAGAGAACACTGAGGCAAGAGAAACTTCATAGAGCAAAACCAGTAGAGCAGCTCAGAATTTTACATAATATAGAAAATTTAGGAATAAACTTCTATCTTGTTTAACAGTGGTCCCCAACCTTTTTGGCACCAGGGACCAGTCTCATGGAAGACAATTTTTCCACAGACCAGGAGAGAGAATGGTTTGGGGATGATTCAAGTGCATTACATTTATTGTGCAGTCAAACCTCTCTACTGATAATCTGTATTTGCAGCTGCTCGCCAGCACTAGCATCACTGCCTCAGCTCCACTTCAGATCATCAGGCATTAGATTCTCATAAGGAGCACATAACCTAGATCCCTTGCGTGTGCAATTTACAGTAGGGTTCGCGCTCCTATGAGAATCTAATGCCACTGCTGATCTGACAGGCGGTGGAGCTATGCAGTGATATGACCGATGGTAAGTGGCTGTAAATACACTCACTCTTGCTCACCTGCCGCTCACCTCCTGCTGTGCGGCCCACTTCCCAACAGGCCATGTACCAATAGCAATCTGTGGCCCAGGGGTTGAGGACTGCAGTTGTTTAAGACCTTGTTATTTATTCTGGTCTCTCTTTTAGAGCAGTAAACCTGACAGCCTAACACAGACAGAAATCAATCTAAAAATATATAATAAAAGTTCTTATGTACATAGGTTTGCAGCTAAGCAACAAAGTAATACTACCTTTATGTGACTGCTAAGACATTCTGTGATGAAATTGGGAACTATGATAAAATTTTACCTTTTTTAACTGGAGACTGATGTTGCTGTTGTTCATTAAGACCTTGAGAAAAGGTTTGCATTCCATTCGTCTTACACTGTTGAACAGGAAAATATATTTTAAACTCAGGTTTAGAAATTTTATATAACCTTTTTTTAACCACCCAAAACTACTTTCTTAATAATCAAAATATTAGTCAAGGCATATTTGGGGGCTAAATGATAAGTACTCACTACAAGTCTGCTTATTAAAAATGAGCAACAAAAACATCTTTCAAAATATATTCACATATATCTATAAGTATT